GGGGGGGGGAGGCGAACCGCGGGGCTGAGCCGGGAGCGGAGCAGCTTGCCCACCTCCGCCAGCTGCACCGAGGCGAACACTAGTCATTGGCTAGGGGGCGAATCTGTTGATTTAAGCGAGGGGCAAATAGTTTCCTCCTCCTCAGACAGATGCTCAGAACAGTCTGTAGGTAGCGAACTGGCAGAGCGATGCCTGGAAAAACTTTTACAGCTTTTGCCCGTGAAGGGGCTGATGTATAAAGCTTTTCAAGTTGTCATTTTTAACGGGCATAATTTTCTTCTTTCTTCCAGCATTAAAGATTGGAAAACGAGACTGAGCTACTTCCTGCAGAACTCTTCCAGTTCTACTAAAATGAAATCCAAGAAAGCAGGGAAACACCGCAACTACTTCAGGTAAGTTGTGAGAAAGAGACTTTGTTTAAACAACTCAAGTGTTTTACAAAAACAATAAAGCTTGAGCAATGGGGTCTAATCTTCTCCATTTCTTCATCCAGACCTTCCCCTGAAGAAGCCCAGCTGTGGTCAGAAGCTTTTGATGAACTTCTTGCTAATAAATGTAAGTTTGTCTTTAAAACGTAACATTCAAGAGCAAAGGGATGGTGAAGTTTATATGTCTGTAAGAGATTGCTTCCTTGCATGTCAGCATTGCACCTTTCTATTATAAATAGTTGTGATTCTGGTCTTGAAAGCCAAAAGCTTTAAACTGCTTAAAGCCAAAATTCACAGAAGTGTTCTTCAAAACAATTTTAAACTAATAGTAAAACATCAAGGGTACTTCATTGTAGTGAAGCTTTTTCTGTAACCCTTGTAGTTAAAATCATATCGATTGGCTTGGCTTTGCCAAATGTGAGATGAGCATTTGCTCACTGAGCTCACTCCTTCACCAAGAGGAATGCATTCAAATAACTTGGGAAGGATTCTGCAACACAGAAGTTGAATGATCTCAGGGTTTTGCTGTATCTCAACAAGGACAAGCACTCAACAGCAGACCAAAAAGACAAGGGATAATATTACTGTTTGCTCTTTGAACTTGAGTCATCCTTTCCATTGCAAAAATGTTCCAGAGGTTTGTAGCACAGTCATAAATATTTACTCCTGTGTAAAGGTTAACACAGGAGATCCCATCTAGAGAGAGGGTGTGTCTTTAATATATATGCAAGCATCATAAAAGGGAACATACCAACCAGAAATGGCTTTCATTTTTTTGTTTACCTAAAATATGACTTGTGTGGAGTGAAGCATGCCAAGCTGTTAGAGTGTTAATTTGTTTGCATACCTAAATGTGGAATTTTTATTGCTACGATATCCCTGAAAGAACTACAGTAAAACGTTTTGGTAGAAACAGATGTGACCATAGGTAAATTCAGAATTCCTGAAATGGTTAACTGATGTGTATATTTTTGCTTTCCCTAGATGGTCTTGCTGCTTTCAGAGCTTTTCTGAAGTCTGAGTTCTGTGAAGAGAACATCGAGTTCTGGCTGGCCTGCGAGGACTTCAAGAAAACCAAGTCACCCCAGAAGCTGACATCGAAAGCAAAAAAAATCTACAATGACTTCATTGAAAAGGAGGCTCCCAAAGAGGTAAAGAAAACCTATTTAAACATAAGTGCCCTTCTCAATGAGTTCTTCCAGCCTTTCTTTATTTCTCTGAACTTGCCTTAAGATGCAGATCTCAGACTGCATCTTATGTACTGCACTGTTAGTATCTGTGTCTGAACCTCACTCTCTCCCTAAGTGCCTTTTCACCAAGCTGGAAAATGGCACCAGCAGCATTTCAGAATTTCCATTTTAACTGGGAAGTCAACAGCTGCATTTAACACCTGTACTGAATTTGAGTTTAGCACTGAAAGATATTATATATAAATTCCTTACATTAAAGAAGAATTTTCTTACAGGAAAATTCATTAATTTAACCCTTTAGTAAAAGGGTCTTGCTGCCCTTACCTCTTCAGAAGTTTTATAGTGTATTAGAATTACTTTAATTCAGTTCTCGAAAGTAAATGTCCTCTTCTTTTGCATTTCAGATAAACATAGACTTCCAAACCAAGAACATGATTGCGCAGAATATTCAAGAAGCCACACATACCTGCTTCAGTGCAGCACAGAAGAGAGTTTACAGCTTGATGGAGAATAACTCATACCCACGGTTTTTGGAGTCTGCCTTCTATCAGGAGCTGTGCAAGACCACACCCATCACCAGAGCAGCCCAGGGGACATGAGCAATGGAGAAGAGCGAGGAGAAGCCTTTCTGCTAGTAAGGAAGCAAGCCACAGCTCATGGCAGCATCCTGACCTGAAAGACTGAGATACCGAGTGCTCAGTCTCTTTGCTGCAGTGCAAGGACAAACACTGACTTTGGTGCAAAGCTGATGGCAGAGTGACACTGCTGGAGGGCAGTCAGAGGTGTGATGGCAGAAGCATGCCAGCCAGCTGCTGGCGATGTGCTTCTCTGCGAGTGCTGCAGTGAAAGGTGACTCCATGCATTAGACCAAACCGTACAGGGTACAGGTCCTTCTGTCACAACTGAGGTGGTGGTGCAGCAGGTCAGAACAGAGCTTCCTTCCTGCAAACAGAAGCTGCTCTGTGCAGTTGCACAGTGCTGGGAACTTGAGTAATTAGTTGTGTATTTATTTTTCTTAAACATCAACCAGTCTTGCCATCATCAGTTGCTTGATGTGTTCACACTGGTTCTGTAAACTGCCTCTAGCTGCAAAGAGATGCATTGGGTTTCTGTGTGACTTCCAGATAGTAACAGCACTGTGCAGTGAAGCAAGGAGGGGATACAGCTCTCTTCCCAGAGGAATGGGTTCCACAACTGAAGTATGTGGGCCTGGGTTGTGTCAGCAGGGCTGCATGAGGCCAGACCAAGGGCAAAACTTGGCCAAGGTGAACAGGAGCTGTATAGTATTATATTTATATGCAGATTATGATTGTGTTGAATGCTGCAATGCTGTCAGAATTCTGTCTTGAGGACAGCAAGCTTCAATGAAGTTTCTTACTGTTTTTAATAAACTATTTTGATACAAAGGTTCTTTTGTTGCTTAACTTGTTTTGCACATGCAGATACAGACTGTCTGGCCTGAATGCCAGAATAGGGGGATTGCATGGCCTGGGGGAGGTGGGGGTGTATAACCTTAATGGGGCTCATTTTTAAAGCAGTTAGTCCTTAGTCTACCAGGCAAGTGTTTTGTTTAAGAAAACCCAAAGTCCTTAAAGCTCAAAATCTTCACTGAGGAGACCTTTTCCATCACAGCCTCTGTCTTAACCATGCCCCTGTGAAAACAATCTCTGAGACAGTGCAAGGCACATGATGACAGAAAGCCAGCAGTATTGAGGTTGGAGGATGCTACTTGGAATGCAGGCACCAGTAGTACCCCAGTCGCTCCTGCTCAAGACCTCTGCCTCAAAAAAGGAGGTAGGAAGGCTTTAGTACCTGGCTGTAAAACACATGTCAAGTCACTAGAGGTAGTATTACAATAAAAGCATCTGAGTCCCTGCTGGCTGAGTGCTTCTTATGGGGAAAGTTACTGGTCATCATTATTCCATGTCTATTTTTCCATCAACATCTACAAGCAGTACTTCCAAAATAGTCCCCACTGTGTTAGGTTTGTGACTTGCCTCGACTCTAGCTCTGTTTAGGTCCTGGCTCCAGCTATTTTGCCTCTACTCAGGTCTCAGCCTTAATCATTAAGTGCACAGCAGTCACCTCTGTAACACTCTGCTTCTCCAGGCATCAAGAAAATTCTAACTACAGGACTTTCCACTTCAATTACACATCCAAAGATTTTTCAAAAGCAACTACTTCATGCATATATATATGCAGGATATATGTGTGTATATATATACACACACTGTTAAGTGTATCCTCTATACATGGAAAAAACCAAATTTGGTACAGCCCCATTTCTGGGGCAGCTAAGTCTGCTGATTGGTTAAGTCCACATAAAACAAACAAGAAAACTCAGCCCAATAATTTATTGCAACAGAGAAAGCTTTTTTCCTAACCAGGAAGCACAGAGTTGAGCTGATAATTGTTTTTGTAATCCAACAAAATAATTTGAAGAGCATAAAAATAGCCAGAACTATACCTATTAATGACTCAGAGCCAGGGCAGGAATAATTCCATTGAAGTTTAATTGGCTTCAGTGAAGCCACATTAATCTGTGCCAATTTGGGATGTGGTAATTAACAGCTGCTGGTGTCTGGTTTCAGGGAAAGAAACATTTCTAGTTTCAGCAGGTGCCAGAACTACTTATAGCACAGTATGTAGCCCAGAAGGGAAATTAGGTGGGGCCGTTAGGCAAGGCATCACTGCCTGAGGGCTGTTCTCATATATTTTTAAGGTTTGAATCATGAACGTTGGTCTTAAGTCTGTGCAGGCAGCTCCATAGCTTCCACAGAGCATGCTGCTGGCGTAGCAAACTAACCAAGCCATGCCCGGTCCCTGGCATGGGCTGTCTGCGTGCCACGTCTGAAAGTCCTGGTTTCAAGCCTAAGCTTTGCAGCAAACCAGTTTCATGTATCAACAGGGGGAAAAAAAAAAAAATCTTATTTTTAGTAAAATGCAACACATCTGTGCACACAGGATTCCTTCCAATTATTGCTTTTCTCATTTTTGCCAAGAGCCCTGTTTTCCCAGCTCCCAGGAGGAAGCTTCACCAGAAAAAGGGCACTACAGCCACAGCAGGTGTGCTGCAACCCAAAAGATTGCTATGAACATTTGCTGGAGAAATACAGAGCTACCGGTTGCTTTAAGAGATGCTGGTTCCATACTCTAGGCAGCCTTACAGCTGCAGTTAAAACTGGCACTCTGGTATCAGTATCCGATGGCAACAAATAATAAACAGTCCAGCTGAGCAGTTCACCCTCCTGCCCACCCTCTGTGGCAGCAGGGAAAAGACTGGTTTGGGAACAGCAAAGGGAGGGCAGCAGGTCCCACAGGCCAAGGTGAGGGTGCTGCTAAGCAGCTGGCCAGAGCAATGTCCTTTTTTTAGCTTCCATCAGGTTATAGAACTGCTCCAGCCAATATCCCTGTTGACAGCCACCTGGGCAAAGAAAATAAGGAGAAGGGATCCCGATGGGTAACTGCATTCCAGGAACCGTAGCTGCAGAGGAGCACGGTTCCTGAGCGAGGCTGTAAACAAGCTCTGCATTTTTAGAAAAAGGGCTTGCTGCAAAAAGCTGAGCACAGGGAGAAGTGGACATCTCCCAAGGGTGGTGGGTAGGAAGGCACCCCACCTCCACTGGTATGGCCTTCGGCTGCACAGCGAGTCCTGGCTGATCCCAAGAAAGTGAATCCCAGTTCATGCACTGCTAACATAACTGATGTTGGCACGTAGCATCTGGGGACCTAGACTTTCTGAAAAACACCAGCAAATCTTCAATAAAAGCAACATTTCACTGTCTGTGTATCACTGGTTTTTAAATCAGTCTCACAATATTTGGTGCTTTTCTTATCTGCTAGAGGCAAGCAATTCAGATCACAAAACATTCATTTCTCACCCTTATGATTATGAAGAAAAATTTGAAATTGCAACCGGAGTATCCCTAGTAATTCCCCAAACCAGAACTTAATGCAAAGACTACGCAGTCACTTTAAAAATATACCTAATTTTCTAAGCCAGCCTCATCATTTTGGGAAACTCTGTTATGAGTTTCAACTGGATCCAGCAACAGCTTGGTTTTTTTCACTGGCTTGCGCTGACACTGCAGCACAGGGCAACATGAAGGAGAGCACTCCATGCTATCGAGAAGGCAACATTTAAAGTAATCTCCTAAACACGACAACAAAGCAGCTGACCCTCAGCAAGTGCCTTCTGGCCCAAAGGCTGGAGAAGACCTCTGGGAGCGGGGACAGCTCAGCAGCAACTCTGACTCACTGCCCCACTCAAATGGGAAAGCAATGCCACCACATAAACAAACCAAAATGCAGCACGCTCACTGCATCTATTTATGTATTGTGGCTGAAAAACAAAAAGATGTACCAAGCTATAAACAAAATCTGCTTTTCCCCTTGAAATTCCAGACCTCTGTTTGGAGAAGAGGACATTAATGACAGTTTAAAAGGTTTTATATGCACATATATATGTGTGTGGAAAGGTTTCTTGGATGAAACTTCATAACTTGGCAACATGCATGGAGCAGAAAAGTGACCTTTAGAAGTAGTTTTAGGATCTTCATGGATTTTTTTTTTTTTTCAAATTTGACTTACTGTGATTCAAGTGGGAAAAACTGGTCAGAATTTGGAATAGCATCCCAAATTCATCTTCTTTCAGGTGGCAAAACATTACCAATGGCTCCTCCTCATCCCACCAGCACAGCAAGACCTGGTGTCCCTACTGGCTCACATGTGCCAGGAACAAACTGCCAAGGAGCAGCAGGAGATGGGGACAGGACTGGAGACAAGGCTCAACCTAAGGTCCATCCCAGAGACAGGCAAGAAACAAGAGCTGGTGACAGACCTACCTGCAACATCAGTCCTTGATCCATCCAGGAGACAGAGCTAGACATGAGGTTGCACCTATAGTGCAGCTCAGGGGAAATATAAGGTCCTCAAGGTTGAGCTTAAATGGAGCCCCTGGCCAATGGGCAGTGGGTGTGGGCCCAGGTGGGGCTGCTCAGGGCCATCAGGGCCATTAGTGCCCCATATGGAGGAACCCTTTTCTGAGAGTTACTGTGCTAGCCATAGGGGCCTGTCAGCTCATGACCCCTGAGCAGTCTGAATTTTGGGGTCTGCAGTCAGGTTTGTGGTGAACGCCCTCAGAATTCATAGAATCATAGAATCATAGAATGTTTTGGGTTGGAAGGGACCCCTAGAGGTCATCTAGTCCAACCCCCATTGTTCTTCCGTAGCTGTGCGAATGGGCATTATCCTGAATGCTGTAACTGGGAAATGATGTCTGGCCAGCACAGAAACCCAGGGAAAACAGTCCCGCTGTTACCCTACGTAGGAGTTTAAAATGGGAGTCCTTTGGCAACCTTGCATTAAAATAACCATTTAGATCAGAGTTTCCAGCAGCTACAAAGTACCTGTGAGCAGCCATTAAATGATGTTCCATTAAAGGATAATCTAATTGACAGATATTCCATTCAGGATAATCTAATTGACAGAAATTAGTACTTATATTTCCCTACCAGTTTTCCCACTTGGGATCTTGTGGACTAAGTTGTGTTTCTGCATTACGGATTTAGACCGGAGAGCCGTTCTGTGGCTTCTTGGCTGGGAGCCTGACTTTGGGCTTTCAGGGGACGTGGTACTAACCTAATTTTTATAGGGCTCGGAAAGTCAGCTGTCCGATATGGAAAAGGCACTCAGGAGCAGAGCGGGCTGTTTATTGAGCTGGTGTGTTCCTTCGCCTTTGCGGAGGGAGATTGAAATAACAGGAGCGTGGCAGAGCACATGCACTGCAGAGGGGCGGCAAGGAGTTGTGCTAGCACCCTCCCTTTTCAACTATTGCTTTTGAAAGGCTGGGAGGATTAACCCTCTCATCGGGACCAGCTGGAGCTGACGGGGCTGAGCTCGGGAGGCAAAGGGGTGCCGGGGTGGGGGGGCCATCCCCGCCGTCCTGGGGCCATGGCAGCTGCGGCATGTGCAGATGTCGGAGGCTTTCCCCACTCTCGGCAGGCTTTGTACTGCGTCAGAGAGATTATCTGTCGTGTGTGGCTGCCCTCCCTGGCGCCCGCCCAGCCTGAATACGTACGTCTGTTTGCGAAGTTGAGCTGTCTCCTGACTTGGCTGCAGTCGGTTCCTGCTGTTTACTTTCCCTGATACCCACTGTGGGCTGGGACCAGGCGTCCGCAAGAGGGGAGGAATGGCTGCCAGGCAGGCCAGACCCTTCCAGCCGCGCTCCGTGCCACTGACAGACCGAAACCTCGCTTTTGCCGCTCGTCCTCCCTGCAGGCTGCTGGGTTTTGGAGCAGGGTCCTTCGGTTTTCAAAAGGAGAGGCCAGCTCACTCGGCAGCAT